CCCTCTTAGGTAACCCTAGGGCTCCAGGCCAGGCTCTCTTGCTTCAACAACACCCCTCCTAGGAGCCAGTTTGTTACAAAATATAGTGCAAGTGAACCCATAACAAAAGTCCCAAAACTGCATATTACCCCCACACCAGCCTCTCTGCGGGGAGTGCATCCTTACCATAATCCGGTGTTTCCTGCCACATCTAGGCTCCTTGCTGGTCCACTTCCATCCTTCTGCCAGGACAGTCACTCCAACCTTTGCAGCTGGAGTGCAACACTGTTCTTCCCAGCAGGAACCTGCACAGATTTTCTGCTAGGAGGTGATCTTTACCAGGGAGCATCCCTCACTCCCCCTGATCCTCTCACTGTTCCCTTGGGTCTAGCTCTCCTGTGTGGAGACATTAGTGGGTAAGCCCATCCGCTGCTTCCCTGCCTTCAGCCCTCACCAGGGCCTTTGGCTTCAGCTCTGTGGTTTAGACCCAGCAAGTATCACTCCTCCTGCCTTCAGCCCCTTGACCCGGGCTTGGGAAGTCAGAGAGTAAAGCTGTCTTGCTGCTCTCCTGCCACCAGTCTCCCCCCAGAGAACCACTTTCTGCTTCCTTGCAGGATTTCTCCAGTCCCCAGTAGCTCTTCTCAACTGCCCTTCTCCTGACTGACCCAGTCTGCTCTGACTCACTGGGACTCTCCCACTCACTGGGTCTCTTTTCCATCGGGTCTCTCCCAGCAGGTTCCCTCTGACTAGGCTGTTAAAAGTCCGGTTGGCAGCGCAGCAGGGGGCAGGGCTAAGGCAGGCTTTCTACCTGCCCTGGCTCCGCACTGCTTCCGGAAGCAGCTGCCAGGTCCCTGCAGCCCCTAGGTGCTAGGGCAGCCAGGGACTGAGAGGCTCCGTGCGCTGCTCCTGCCCCTGAGTACCAGCTCCGTAGCTCCCATTGGCAGGGAACCATGACTAATGGGAGCTGCGGGAGGTAGTGCCTACACACGTGAAGGCAGCACCCACTGTGCAGAGCTACTTGGCCACGCCTCTGCCTAGAGGTCACAGGGACATGGTAGCCGCTTCCTCCGAGCCGCGGTAAGTGCCAGCAGGATGCCGCACACGCCCTGCGCCCCAAATCCCCGGCCCAGCCCAGAGTCCCCATCTGCACTCCAAACCCCTCATCCCCAGCCAGAGCCCTCACTGCACCCCAACCCCCTGCCACAGCCCAGAGCTCCTCCTGCACCCCAACCCCCTCATCCCTGATCCCACCCCAGAGCCCTCACCCCCCACTGCACCCCAACACCCTAGCCCAGCCCATACCCCCTCCTGTACCCTACCCCCCTCCCCCAGCCCGGTGAAGGTGGGGAATAGTGAGCAAGGGACGGAGAGGGGATGGAGCGAGTGGAGGGTGGGACCTCAGAGAAGGGGTGGGGCATGGGTAGGGCCTCAGAGAAGGGGCAGGGGTGTTCGGTTTTGTGTGATTAGAAAGTTGGCGACCCTATTCCTGCTTCTGGCCTGTCTCCCCATATCTGCACACTCTGTCCTTAGGCCCAATTCATCCAGGCTTCCTCTCCCTGGGTCTCTTTCCTCCCTGCTTTAGGCCCAGCTGCCCTCTTTAAAGCCCTTTTATTTGCCTTATGAGCACACTCTGATTTGATCACAGATACACTGGCCCTGCTCCCTCTGAAAGAGCCAGTGTCACCCTGTGACTGGCTGCATCTCTAGTTCATGCATATAATTTCTCTATATCACCCTGCATCCCCCTTGGTGTTTGGTATCAGCCATAGCCCACTACCTCTCCACCCAGACTTTCTCCCTGGCTTGCCCTTCCCTCTCTTCAATCTTTCTGTTAGGGGCTTCCCAGAAATATTGCTCCTAGACCAATCACTTATCTAGCACCAAAGTGTGCCTGGTATTTTACAGATGAGCTCCTTGCCCTGAGAGGCTCACAAAGTGAAAAGCTACAAATGCATGTGAGAGAGGATACAATATAAAATTAAAGTGACTGAGCCGTGTCATTCTCTCCACCATCCCTTTGCCAGCTCCTTCCCACCCCCACACATAATTCCCAGTGCATTGCCTTCTGCACAGGATCTGCTGTAGCAGAGCAGACCTGCTCCATCTTGTCTATTAACTTGCCTCTGGCAGTAGCCAACATTTGATGCTCCAGAGGAATATGACCCCTTCTCTTCCCATAAGGCACTTGCCCATTGTGCTGCATCAAGGGGGTTGAGAACACTTTTTCCTGACTCCTAGGGGATCATGTTCTGGCTTATGGAACTGAGTCCCTCAGCAGAGCTTACATGCCTGTCTAGGTTATTGTAGTGAATCTGCAGGGTCCCTACCAGCATCCCCCGTCGTGAAGGGCCTGAAGTTTACATGTTATTGGACAGGGAATGGAGAGTCTGGCAGGTCTACTCTAACAACCATAGCTTTGCCATGAGCTGAAGGTGTTCCCTGCAGGCGTTAAGATGGTTCAGTCTCAGGTTCCTTCTAGCTTCCTCATGGTGCTCAGACATCCTGGCCTCAGTAACCAGAAATGCCTTCTACTTGCACCACCTCCACCTGACAGGAAGCTGCTCCTCTCCCAGTCTGATGCAGACCTGGACCCAGTGATCTATCTGACTCTCACTTCCAGGTTTAGCTATTGCAACACACAATACCATGGACTGAAGGGGCTGACTTTAAAGAAGCTCCAGATGTTACAATGTGCACCAGCCTGTGTTCCATCCAGCAAGGGACACTGACAACACATCACCCCAGTGCTCTACAAGCTGCACTGAATCCCTGGCCAGTACAGACCCCAGTTATCTGAGAGGTCACCTCCCTTGCTGTGACCCTCTCCTACTCCGCCCATTGCATTTTCAAGGTTTCTAGAGCTAACAATGCTAAAGGTGACACAGGTGCAGGGAGTGGGCCTTCTTTGG